CCGCCTCTGTCCCGCTGTTCCGACAGCTCCCCCACGTGAAAGCTAGCGAGGCACGGAGGAAGGGTGGGTCGAGCCCTTCTTGACAGGCTAATTCGACGCATGTAAGGAAGCGTTTTTGTGGTCGTTTGTGCGCCGCGCTTGCAGCTCTTGGTCCTGCCGCGGCGGAAGGCGGCGGGGTCAACCCAGCAAAGGCGTCTCAGGCCGGGGTTTTCAAGGTCTTTTCTTGCCAGCTTCCCCGAGCTCCAAACTGCCCCCCCCCACCTTTAGGTGGATTGCGGGGTGTGTGCGCTGTATTGTGACGGGGTCACTTAGCTCCGAGCCATTCCCAGAAACGGATCAGCAAAAGAAAGTTATTCCCCCCCCCCCAACTGAGGTGAAGGAGGCGGCCCCAAGGGCTTTGCACCGCCCTAGCCCAGAACACGCGGAGTTAATTTAAGCAGCTGCGCAGCGCCATCCTCATGCCAGTGGGAGCTCAAGCCGAGGGGGCTCCGTCGCGCCAAGGCCGTGTAAATCCGCCGTTCCCCGGCTCCACCCGCCCCTCTCCCGATTCTGTCCCGATCCCACTGATCGGAGAACGTCCCACGGCTCACCCCCCCTCCCAATAATCGCGCACAGGCACGATCAGGACTTTCATCACCAGTTTCTACCCTCGTGGCCGGTTCTCCAGAAACGAAACCCCTTAACTCTGCTGCGATTTCAGGGCCATCGGTCGGCTGCATCAGCGAGCTGTCCCGGGCCCGGTCTGCAAACGCTACTGGCTAAAGGTGTTCGAGTCCTGCGGGGGTAGAACGGCCAGCATTTTATTTATTTATTTTTTTACTGAAGTGGGAGGGATCACGTTGGAATGTTTTCTTGTGCAGAAAACATCCCCCCCCGCAACCGAGCACGGTTTTGTCCCCCTTGCAGGAAGCTAAAAACAACAACTGGATACCGGCTGCCGTCACACACACACACACACACACACACACACGAAGCAATCCCCTCCCAATGCACTCTCTAACTGGCTTTTGCCAATTCCCGCCGATTGAAAGGGGCCTATTTAGTGCGTGTGACTGCCTGGTTTTCAGCGTCCCCGAGGAGTGGCACAGGCCCCTCTACCCGCCTTATTTACTAGTCTCCGAGGCCGCCTTTCTCGCTGGAGCTCCAGGTGGGCGACCCAGAATCAATCGATACCATCAGCAGGATGGGACATCCCAAACGCACGAGGCCTTCGGATTTGACTTGTAAAGATCTGGAACCAGCCAGAGATTCAAAAACAGCGGCGAAGCATACCAGAAGTAAGATGACGCATGAAAGGATGCAAAAAAGAAATCAAAATAAAAACAGTAGGCACCTACTTAGAGCCACAGAGAGTGTGCAGCCCCAGCAGGGTGGTGTAGTCTGCGGCCCCCAACTCTTCACCTCCAGGCTTCTTTCTGCATAATTTTGTCACAGGATACAACTCAGTCCCATTTTCTGCGTTCTGCCATCCATTTCTGCCGCGTCTCTAGTGCCACCAGCCGGCCCTACTTTTGGAACCAACTGACCCTCGCAAGCCCGAGACACCGCCCGGACGGACTAGCGAGGCTTGGCTTTAAGCCAATTTATCTCAGGGGGGATGAAACCGGTTTAAATCAGAAGATTTACGGCGCAACTGGCTTGCCTGCGTCGGCGTGAAGTAAAGCTCACCGGTTCCGTTTGGGATTTACTCCCAAGTAGGGACTGGATGCTTCGCATGGCCGCCTTAATTCGCCGCCTCGACAAGAACTCGGGTCCTGTTTTTCTCTCTCTCTCTTAAACCCTTAAAGCGGAAGAGCCGCACAGCCGGCCTCCTATCGCAGTCGGTGGAACTGGAGTCTCTCTGGCTGCGGTCACAGAAGCTAAAATAATCCACTTTCAATGCGCTTCCTAAGTGGATTTTGCCAGTTCACACAGCAAAATCCAGCTGGAAAGTGCATGGAAAGTGCATCGGAAGTGGATTATTCAGTGTGTGTGTGTGTGTGATCTCAGACAAAGCATCAGTTACCAGCGTCCTAAACCCAAACCCAAAAACAGCTGTTGAGATTTTTACTAGCAGCCCCACACGCTTTCCGGTCACTTAGGCTCGGTTCACACTTACAAGGGCGATGCGCTGTAAAAGGGGCTGCACCGCTTCAGAACGCAGACGAAGCCAGTTTGGAGGGCATGAAGCTATTGATGGGAGCAGGAAACGAACACATCTTGGACCCCCACACTGCCTTCTTTGCGGTGCCCTGTCTCTGCAGAGAGCTCGAGAGGCAGGTGTTCCTCTAGATGTCCTCCCCCCAACCACTCACCTGTGGCTAAAGCGATGCGCTCCACTCTGCCCCGCCACAGGTCTCTGCCACCTCGTTCTCCTGGGCTAAATAATCCACTTTCAATCCACTTTCAATGCACATTCCAACTGGAGTGTACTGTGTATAGATAGGGACTCTGGGGCAAGTGATGCTCTGTCATCTTGGTGCTTGGGGGGGGGGGTCAACAGTGGGAGGGCTTCTAATGTCCTGGCCCCACTGGTGGACCTCCTGATGGCACCTGGTATTTCTGGCCACTGTGTGACACAGAGTGTTGGACTGGATGGGCCTTTGGCCTGATCCAACATTGGCATCTCTTATGTTCTTATGTTAACTGGCATAATGCAGTTCGAAAGTGCATTGAAAGTGGATTGTTTAGTTTTTCTGATCTCAGCGCTGCACACCCTTTAACTCCCCGCTACTGAAAGCCCCTGCTAGGTTCTTGCGTGTCAGGCCCGCCAAAAAGAAGCTCGCCACCCCCTACATACCTGGAAGTGACTTCCAAAGATCTGCCCTGCAAGGCTGCTTATCCATCTCGAAGCTGTCCCGGTACTCAGAGAACAAGTCCCGGGAGGAGAAAAGGGAGGCGTCTTGTTAGGTGATAGTGAGATATTGAAAAAATGGTATTTAGCAGAAGTAATATAGCCCAGCAGAGCCTGAGTAAAATAATTCAGACTGAGAGCCCATGTGTGATTAAAATATAAAGTTTTTACTAAATTCTAGCAAGGGATGAAAATAATAAAACAGCATAGTCAGCTACATCCTTACACTACAAAGAAAAAACTAGAAGAGAGATTATGGCTGCTCTTCTTCTTCTTCAGAACACCAAACAAAGACGGGAAGAGAAGCCATAAAATGGTAATACACCTTGACACTTTAGTCCCAATCAAATCCCAAGATCAGGGAGAATATTTCCGGGCTGCCTACATCTAAAGAACATTGGTGACATGAGAAACATGTGACTTCCTTTGAGTAACATAAACAAACATTTAACCCCAGATATACTGAGTGTTTTGAACTTGTAATACCCAACACGTCTTCTGTAAACTGCCTTAGGGTCCCCACTGGGGAGAAAGGGGAGGTATAAATGAAGTCAATAGACGTCTCTGTCTGAGAATACAGAGCCACTCCCAGCAGACAATGTGATGCCCCGGGAGTCTGGCTGCAGCCAGGGGTGGTCTTGGCCATGGGGAGGGGGCGGCCTGGGCAAAAGTGTTGGGTGTTACAAGTTAAAACACTTCAGTATTTTCAGGGTTAATGATGTTTGTTAAGTCACATGTTTGTAACCAATCTGTTTAGACAATAGGATGCCCGGGAACTTTGGAGCTAGTTTGCTACTCTGATTGGAAACCAAGGTGCCAAGTATTTATCATTTTATGGTTTCTCTTCCGTTCTTTTGTTCTGACTAGAGAAGGAGACGCCATTCCGGCTTCTTCCCGTTTTACCTTTTAGCTGCAAGGATGTAGACATACAAGCTCTTTGTTATTTTATATCCTGTGTACCTTTTCCCCATGTTAGCTTTATAGTAAACTTTTATATTTTAATACACACCATGGACTCAGTCTCTTAATACTCTGCTGACTGACTTAAAAAGAATCCCAACAAAAAGTCTAGGAGTGAGGCCTGCTGAATTCAATGTGGCTTACCCCTAGGCCTTACTCCCAAGGAAGCATGTATAGGATTCGAGAGGGAGGTAGTTGTGAATTTCCTGCCTTGTGCAGGGGGTTGGACTAGATGACCCTGGAGGTCCCTTCCAACTCTATGATTCTATGCGTGTCAGTATAAACGGGGCCCAAGCCTAGTCGCTTTTCTGGGCAAATCTGCAAAGCGCTCCGGCTCCCTCCAGACATCACCCTGACCCGACCCCTCCCTCAGTGGAGGAGCCCAATTCCCAGACATCTCCCAGGTCCTTGAAATCAGCGCCATTGACGTCGTGTGAAGGTGCTAGTTGGGGCGACTGAAACTCCAAACGGTATATTTTCAGTTTGGGTCGAAACTATCCGGCCGCTTCTCTGCGGGGTTCGTTTAGCGTTAGGATCGCCTTGGTGGGAACGGGCTCCGGGGGTGAGGCAGCGATCCAGGGAGACGGTGGCACAGGGACGTCCGAGTAGATGAGATCGCAGCGGCACGAGTATAGGCGTCCTCTTGACTCTGAAAGCGGACCTGTCTTCGTCCCGCCCCAGTAAAGTGCACGTCCGGATGACGGTCTTCGTTTGGAAACCGGTCCGACACCTGCGGACAAGGAGGCGCCGCTTTTTAGCGATTGTTTCCCGACTGGTTTCCAGAAGTCCCGGGACAGAGATAGGGACCACACACACACACACGAGAAATTAAGGCTGCAAAACACTTTCCCAAGAGTAATCCCAACTGCATAGCACGGGACTTTCCTCTGAGCAGACCTGTTTAGGGGAGGGACCCTGGCTCACTAGCAAAGCATCCGCTTGGCGTGCAGAAGGTCCCCGGTTCAATCCCCGGCATCTCCAGTGAGAAAGGGCGAGGCAGCAGGTGATGGGAAAGGTCCTGGAGAGCCGCTGCCAGTCTGAGTAGACAATAGGGACCTTGTCGGACTCCCGGGGTCTGGTGTAGGGGAAGGCAGCTTGACGTGAGGGCTCGTGTTTCTTCCTTGAACACACCAAGTGCTGAAGTTCCCTGCGATTCTGGGTGTTTTGCTCATCTCCTGCTCTGTGCTCTTCCCTCCCCCTTTCCCAGGCGCATGTTCCCCACTTTCCAGGTGAAGATCTTCGGGATGGACCCCATGGCCGACTATATGCTCTTAATGGACTTCGTACCAGTGGATGACAAACGATACCGGTAAGTGTACCTCCACGAACACCCTTAACCCTAGTAAAAAAAAGGAGTAGGTTTGCACCCAGAAGAGATACCGCCTTTGTTGGTCTTAAAGGTGCCTCTGGACTTAAATTTTGTTCTGCTGCTTCAGACCAACACGGGTGCCCACCTGGATCTATCTTCAGGGAGGGAGAGGAGGCAATTCTGTTTGAAGTCCAGGTCATAAGAACATAAGAACATAAGAGATGCCAATGTTGGAAGGCAGCCAACCCTCCCAGGCAGATAACAACCTCTTATCCCGTTCAAAGGGAATTGCATCTCTAACTTTCTACATTGGTTGTAAAACCCCACTTGTTTGTTGTTCCGAGCCATGCTTTTATTCATACCCTCTTCAGCTTCTTGTTTTCGGCTCTGCTAAGGAGCAAAGATACAACTGGCTGTAGAACTTCCCAAAACCAGGTAAATGGGCAATTCAGGCATGGAATCTGACATTAGGGGTTTGATCTCCCCCTTTTGCACTTTAAAAACAAATATGAGTCTACCTGCCCGCAGACAACCTCAGATCTTCATGCAGTGCCCACGGGTTCTTGTAGGTCAATCAATATCAGGGCATTTAAACCAGCGGACTCCCCCCAGGCAGCCAACCCTCCCAGCCAGAAAACAACCTCTTATCCCATTCAAAGGGAATTGCATCTCTAACTTTCTACATTGGTGGTAAAACCCCACTTGTTTGTTTGTTGTTTCGAGCCATGCTTTTATTTATACTCTCTTCAGCTTCTTGTTTTCAGCTCTGCTAAAGAGCAAAGATACAACTGGCTGTAGAACTTCCCCAAACCAGGTAAATGGGCAATTCAGGCATGGAATCTGACATTAGGGGTTTGATCTCCCCCCTTTTGCACTTTAAAAACAAATATGAGTCTACCTGCCCGCAGACAACCTCAGATCCCAACTATAAGCATTTTGTTTATTTACATCTGTTGGGAGACTGAGTCCATGGTGTGTTTTAAAATATAAAAGTTTACTATAAACCTAACATGGGAAAAGGTACACAGGATATAAATCATTAACCCTGTAAATACTGAAGTGTTTTGACTTGTAACACCCAACACCCCTTCTCAAGTTACAACACTGAAGTCATGCAAGTTCAGTCTTTCACATGGAGTCTCAAACTTCTTCTCGAGTGGCTTGGTGAATATGTCTGCAATCATCTCCTCAGTAGGACAGTATTGGAGTTCAATCAGTCCTTGGTCTACCCTGTAAATACTGAAGTGTTTTGACTTGTAACACCCAACACCCCTTCTCAAGTTACAACACTGAAGTCATGCAAGTTCAGTCTTTCACATAGAGTCTCAAACTTCTTCTCGAGTGGCTTGGTGAATATGTCTGCAATCATCTCCTCAGTAGGACAGTATTGGAGTTCAATCAGTCCTTGGTCTTGCAGGTCTTTCACATAGTTACATTTGCGAGCGATGGTCCTATTCTTGGATTTGTTGCAAGTTCAGTCTTTCACATAGAGTCTCAAACTTCTTCTCGAGTGGCTTGGTGAATATGTCTGCAATCATCTCCTCAGTAGGACAGTATTGGAGTTCAATCAGTCCTTGGTCTTGCAGGTCTTTCACATAGTTACATTTGAGAGCGATGGTCCTATTCTTGGATTTGGCGCTCTCACCTTTGCAGATAGCGATGCAAGTTTGATTATCTTTAAACAGTATTATTGGCTTTGGTTCATCTATTCCAAAGTCTTTCAGTAGATGAATAATCCAGTAAAGTTCATAGCTGGCACTTTGCA